AAAACAATAAGTACACTCACCTTTTGCTAAGAATTTATGACTCTGTTTTAAGGTATTAAACGGTTTAAGTGCATAAGTACAAGAAGACTTTTCGTAACTGTAGGCTGCGAAACCACTGCTGAACTTAACAAAAGCGAAATGCTTTTTTAAGTTTCGTATTTCCAAGCTATCTGCATTTATCTGCCATTATCAGACAATTATTTTGTCTTTCTGTCCTAACGCTGAAGAAACCGCTCTTAGCAGTTTAGTTCCACCTGTTGTCTGATTTATGCTTCAACGTTTCACATATATTTGTGCACGCTCAAATACAGCACTGTGTTGAATTACTGCAACAGACATTTTGTTGGTGATGTTAGTTGTGGTACTGTACGTATTACAGAACAGGAGTGATAACAGTGCGGCATCAGATTCAACGTGCTGCTTACTAAATTTTGAGACTTCTAAGAATTTGCTTTTTTAACGAAGAAAAATTAGTTAGAATAAAAGTTGAACTGTTGTTGATAATTGATATAAGTTTGCTTCAAATCTCGATAAAATTTGATGGATTAAGATGAATGTTGGCAGCTTGCTGTTGGACTCTGCAAGAAAAAAACATTGAGAAATAAGCATTTTCCAATTTCATATGTTTGTTCTACAGCTGTGTAAAAATTATTCTGTTGAATAGATTCGACAATTTAGTTTAAAAGCAAAAGACTCACTTTTTCATTTTTTTTTAAATGAATATATAAATAATATACATATATATACAAAAAGAATAATAAATATGAGTAACACAGTTTTGCAGTAAAGATTTTCTACAGGTAACTGTAAAAAATTTTTTCATTATCAATTATTTTCACTAAGCAGTTATGGTTTTCTACTCAAAGTTATAGCTTACCGATAAGCGTTAAAATTATTCGTTTCATAGAGCTTGAACAAGCTTATTTTGCTTATATTTATAATTTTAAGTGCTTTAAGTTTGTGTCACAGTTGTTTAATTTCTACTAAACTAGTTTTTTAAAAAATTTGAACTATAAAAATAGCTTTTAATTGTTGCGAAAACTGTCTAAGAGGCTGTAGAGATTGCTTAAAATCACAATAACAAAAAATTGACTTGTTGACACAACATATAGATTGAGTAATGACATAAATTTTTTGCTGACTTGTGATTAAAAGTGGTAAAAAGTGTATTATCTGTGCATATTATAGCGCTGTATAAAGTGTATTTAAAAGAGGATGTCTTGAATGCGGTTTTAAAGCAAACAGTTGCAGTAGTCTGAGACTTTGGTTAGCAAATGCTGAGCAGTAAATAAAAAGTTTTTGAAAAAAGTGAGCCTCGGTTAATTGCTTAAGAAAACATCTTAGACGATTGCAGTAATGTACTATTGTCAAATTTAATTCTTGAACGGTCAAAAAACCAATAGTCATTTCTACTTTTTTGCCTTATTTGTCGTCACTAAGCTACTGATCATTATTGAAACCTGATAAGAGTATAGAAAGATTCACAACGTTTAATGACAGTATATATCCGAAGCAACATTTTAAAACTAACTGATAGTGTCATTTTTCTGCTTTCTACTAATTTCATTCAAAGACAATACAAGTGTAAAAAATTTAAAACGATCAGTTCAGCTGCTTTCCTGAGAACGTTGCTTATTATTTTGTAGAAGTACTAACTTACCTTGTTTCTTAATTTTAAACCTTATTTTTCTAAATATTTAGAAAAATTAGGTTAAAACTTTGTTTTTTATACTACTTTTTTTTTTTGTCTTTCAGCTCCCTCCCCTCCACATGCACAATCTTCTACATATAGAAAAACAACAGGACCATCAAATGTTACGAGTTCTCAGGTATAATTTAACTTCTAAATATTTTTGATAAAAATCTACAGTTATTTTTCAAAAACAAATACTGGTTGTGTGACAAAGCCCATTACTGAAGTTGAAATTGGCAAAAGTTTAATAAAACGTTTGCCTAAACGTATTCAGCTGAAAAACGAACAAACTTCTTTGATTTGATTGAAAAGAATAAGTGCCTATCTGTTGTTTGGTAACATGTAGCAGCAGCCCTCTCACTAATCAGCCAATTTAAAAGCAAATATAAATTTTTTAAACTAAATCGTTTGAATTTTTGTGAAGTCGTAAATCACAAAATTTCGCACAGTCAAGTGCGTTCATTTACAGCTCATTAAAGTTTTTTATTACAAAAATTTCACAATATAAAAACTGTAATGAACAATATAAAATAATAATTTTGCGTCATTCACTTTTATCTGATATACCTGAATACTATTTTGTCAGCTGCAACACTCTCATTTACTTAATATTATATCAACATTACATGTTTTATTTCAATTTTATGTCTGGGATGTTGTAGCATCTTGAAAGAATAAAAAAGAAAAAAAAAAAGTTGCTGAGCAGACTTCTACCAAAGTTGAGCAATAAAAAGAAAACTGTTGCAGTACGATTGGCTTTGCTCACGAACTCATACAAACACTGCTTTTGTCGGCGCTCAACCATACTCAAGAACATTGCTTTATACACCTGGAGACTGTTTCAAGAGCTGTATCGAAAGTTATCCCAGATGTGTAGCAGGTCTCTCTACTATTCTTTTCTGTTCGGAAAAAAATTTTTTTTTATTATTTTGGAGTTGAACAGTTTCAGCTAGACAGGAATTTATCACCTAGAGTAATGACTTCTACTTTTTGACTTTTAAAACAGTGATTTAAAAAACTATTTTGCTTAATTAGTGTATTTATCGATATATTTTACGTTTTTTATAGTGGTTTATTACAACCTTCATCAAGGTGACTTAAACAACGTCTGTTATATGTTCGACAGAAACAGTGCTGATGAAAATGTGGGTAAAGTTTACGGGCTAAAAACCACTTCTAACCGACTGAATAAGTTGTATCTTAAGAAGAGGAGAAAACTTGAAAATAAGTCATTTAGGTAGCATTGGTACCAGAAAGACCAGCAAATCCTCAGGATATAATTCGTGCGCTAGAAATTGTTCCTAACTGTCACTACTTTGACCCTGTCCCACCGCTATACGATGAATATATCAAGTCAACAGATGTAGTTCCTCAAAACCAACGAAGTTTGTTTTAATACTTGCAACAATAAAAAAGTGGTTTTTTGAAAATCTAGCAAAACAGCGGTGGCTATCTTATGCGGTTTCTTTTTCCTTTTTCTTTTTTTTTATTACTGAACAAATTCGTAATTTATTACAAATTACTTAGAGGTTATTAAGGTTAATTAACACTATTAGTTCTTTTTCGTATACAGAAATTATTACAGTTCAATTATCCGCTACTGCATCAGCAACAATAAGTGGTTCTGGATCATGGTCGCCTTGGACAATTTGTTCGCCTAGGACTGGTTAGTACTTTTTTGGTTTACCTCTGTCCTAACTAGATATCAAAAAGTTTTTGGTTCTCTGGTTGATTTGAAAGTATAAATCTGAATACTAAAATAAACCAAAATCAGATAGACTGTTTGCGCCTGTTTTTTTGAAGAATTTGAAATAGTGTTTGAAAACGATTATAAACTTGGAACTTTTGAATAAAAAGAAAGGTAAAATGAAAACCCGGCATTATTAACATCTGCCTGTGCAGACTGCAAAAATTGCAATAAAATTAATTTCATCTGTTTCGTTAAGCAAGAGTACTCTAATTTGAGGTCTTAGTAAGTCTTAATAGCTTTCTTCTATTGTTACTGGCTTTTAACAAGTCACAAACTTTGTTAAGTATATTATCTTTAGAAGAAAAACCAGTAAGATGTTAGTGATAAGTACACAGTGTTATAGTGTTTTTATAAAAGCTCTGTTGCAGTTCATCAAATACGTTCTCAACCCTGCGATTATGGTCGTTTGATTAATAGACGAAAATGTTATTATGGTTCCTCGTATCCCGCATATCGTCCAGCAGTTATAATTCAGTACAATGTTCCTTATCCACCTATGCCTTACATCCATCCTGAGTGTCATACGTTAGTCTATTTGCCTCAATTAACCTTAAAAATCTAATATTTCTCCTGTAACTCTAGTTTACTTAAACAAAAATCTTCAGTGTTTAATTATTTTTTCAAATTTAAGTGAAGAATATGATCAAATTTTGACAAGGCATGTCGACCAAATGAGAAGAATTTGCTGTGTACGCTCTGACACCAAAATGCGAGAAGTAAGGCTTCAAAACTTTGGAGATAAACGAAAACGATTATGTTAAACACCACTCAGGCATTCACATATACCTTTTTTTTTAATGTACAAACGTTTTTTGTAGACAACTTCTACAACATTGTAAACCGATTTAGATCGTAAAAAAACCAACTACAACTTACGTGCCCACATGTCGTCAGGTATGTAAATGGCCTGATGAGGAAATTGTTACAATTAAACATGGTACAAGTGCTGGTCATAGCTCAGTATCTGATGTTGTTGGAGTACCAAAATCAGGTTAAAAATGGCAAATTGTTTTAAGCAAAATTAATTATGTAGCAAACACTAAGAATCTGCTAAAATTTAGTGAGTGTTATTATTTGACTAGAGAAACAGATTTTGTTGCTATCACTGTGTTGAATACTATGTAACAATTCAGAGTGGGAACAGTGGAGTGAATGGTCAGTATGCTCAGCTACGTGTGATCATGGCACAGAGATGAGGCATCGTAAATGCTCTGCTGATCAGTGTCCCGGAGATTCTTATCAAGTCAGACCATGTGATAGTCTACTACCTTGCAAAACTTGGGCTGACTGGTCTCAGTGGAGCGAATGTCGAGGTCAGTTTGCTAATCTAAGTGCGCTAATTAGTTCATTTTTACTTTTTTGTCACCTTCAGAAAATATTGCCGTGTAAACAGTTAGACAAAATTTTTGTTAGTTTTTCTTTTCAATAAAACAAAGTTTGGAATTCGTTTTTAAGATTTAGATGGGGTACCTGACAGGAAATGTTTTGCACAGTTAATTATTGACTTTTGAAGAAATATTTCTTCTGGCATGAAACTTCTGTGTCTAAAAAAACCTGAATGCTGTGCCCCTTTAGATAACCTGGTAGATCCTAGTAATGCTCACTTCGGTGCAGATTATTTCACAAGAACCTATTACAATTTTTAGTTATTCAATGGCATGTTTTTTAAGCATCTTGCGGAACAGGCGAAAGAGTTCGCTCACGTTACTGCTTCTTGGGTAAAAATCGTTGTGTTGGCAGCGATTTCGAGGTTAGCAAAAAAGTTCATCAAGTTTTAGGGAAAGTGAAAAACAGATATTTGATAAAAGAACTGCAAACTTAAAATTATAAGGAGGAGTAAGTGTAGATATACTGCTAGCAGGAGTATTCAGGTTTTGAAGAGTTCAGGTGGAACATTGCGAAACACATCCATGTGGTGGCTGGGGACCATGGGGTGACTGGTCGATGTGTAGCGCAACTTGTGGTAGAGCAGAAAAGACCCGTCGACGTTACTGTACGGGCATAGCCGGTTGCTCAGGTTCTCAATTGTTTTTTTGTTTTTACTACTTCTAGCTTTTGACTTCAATAAATGTAGGTTCTCACAGTAAAGCACTGTCGTCTCAGTTATTTCAATGTCCATTATAAAAGTTTAGGACCTGATCAAGAGACAAGGGATTGTGAATTGAAACCGTGCTCTGAATGGGGTCAGTGGCAACCATGGTCGTCATGCTCAGTGTCTTGCGGCATGGGTGTTAAAGAACGTAGAAGAATGTGCATAGGCGGTCTAGATTGCGAAGGTCAAATTTTTCAACAGCAATTCTTAACTACTAATCATTCAGTGTCCATCAAAATCCGCTGGGAAAATGCTCACATATTATAGATTAAATTTTTTGAGTAATTTGAGGAATAGATAATCTTAGCTAAGCGACATTGGCACAAATAATTGAAAGCCTCTGCTAACTTATTTTCATCCGTACAACATTAGTTTATCGGTCTTTTATACAGGTCCTGAAATTGATGAGGCAAAGTGTGACGGACCAGCTTGTCCAGAATGGATGCCTTGGAGTCCATGGTCTCCTTGCTCAGCAACCTGTGGATACGGTTACTCAACCAGAAAGCGTGATTGCATGGCAGATAGCATTGGTTGTGAAGGTTGTGTTTTAAAATATTCTCTGGATATAGAAGTTAGATTATCTTCAAAAAGAATAAAAATTAGACTGCATTCTTTCACATTAATGAACTGGATGTTATAGTTACGTTTTCTGATTCCCACTTCCTTAAAAAAAAACTTGTTTATGTAAGATTATTAAAAATCCTACAAGCAAACTTAAAAAACGACTTGAGAAGATAAAAATCTGATAGAAGAGTTAAGCGTAACTGATAAATGTGGTGACAATTTATTGCTTTAACAAAGCGACAAAAGCGGCAAATCTCTGATTTCAGCTGGTTTGATAAAGAAACAATTAATTAAAAATTCAGGTGAGAGTGTCGAAATTCAAGTTTGTAACGTAGAAGAGTGTGCAACATGGAGTCCTTGGCAAGAGTGGGGTTACTGCGTCAAGAGTAGCAGAGAAGAAATAAGAAGAAGAGTGTGCATGGGACCAACAACGGGCGGTTGTGGACGTATGTAGTTTTCAGCTTCAAAAACGTTTTCTTCTTAATTGTAATAGATATTCGTTCATAAATTTATAAAATTTAGTTCCAAAGCATATTGCACTAATTTTACAATTGCTCGATATAATAACAGCCAGTTGTTTTAGCTGAAGACTCCTACGATGTACGGTCCTGCCAGGTACCTACAGAAGATATGTGGGAGGCGTGGGGATACTGGAGTGTCTGCCCGCCATGCGGATATGGTACTCAGCGACGTACAAGAAAATGTTTGTCATCATGGTGCAGAGGTAATAACACAAGAAATATAGTAAATAACTGCGTTCAGCATTCTCAATAAGGCTTTTACAATTAACAAAAAGTTACAATAGTTTTTTACACGACTTTTGCAGGCTCGTCTGTTGAAGAACAAGTTTGCGATATTCCACCATGTTCAACGTGGGGTGATTGGTCTCCATGGGGAGTTTGTTCTGCAACCTGTGGAAACGGCAAAAAAGTTAGGACGAGAAATTGCATTAATGGATACGAGTGCGTGGGCGATGCTGAAGTATCTTACTAATCATATATAAATGCTTTTTGAACTTGATAATGTCGCGACCTCTTATTTCGTTCGCTGCAACTTTCTAATCATCCATGCTTGTATTTGACATTCAGGAGTACCAACACTGCACTGGGTCTTATCCATGTGCTGAGTGGAATTCATGGGAAGAATGGAGCAGTTGTGATAGTAAATGCGGCGTTGGACAACGAACAAGAACGCGTCAATGCATTGGCAGCGGATATCCAACTGATCAGTGTCAGGGACCATCACATGTAAGACTAATTCAAAATTTCTAGCTTAAGCAGCTATTCAAAATCCCCATGTAAAAACTCTCAACCAAGTTAATCCTATTTTCTGCTTGGTTGAGCTTAGAAAAAGTTTTTTGCTTACGAAACCTCTAACTACGCAGTAATGCAAAGAACACTTAAAAGAGCGTTATTCCATATTAGCATCAAAACGAAATGCAAACTAATTCTCGCGTAATAAAATGGTTAATTAATTTTCCTATCACACCATACTGACTTCTAAAAACAAAAAATTTTGGTCACTTTCAATAGTGAAAAGACGTGGATCTATTCGTTTCTAGGAAACTTCTGAGTGTCTGGACCGCCCTTGTTGCGAGTGGACAAGATGGGCTGAATGGACCGGCTGTGATCGCGCCTGTGGAGGCGGCAAAACAACCCGATTGCGCCAGTGCCAGCGGCCAGGAGACTGTAAGTGCTTTCAATACGTTTTCTAACCTTTTCAAACATC